GGACCCACCCAAGTGCAAGAAATTTTTGTGCACCAGGCCTCTAGTAAAATATAAAACATAACAGAGAAAATGTAAATTTATGAGGAAGTGTGGACTCGGATGAAATAAACACAGTTGAATTGCCAACCTGGTGATGGCAAATGCATGCCTTGCACATAGTGTGCTCTCCACTCCTATGCTCACAGCAGACATCACTAACTGATCACTGATCTCTTCTTAGCCCAGATCCTCCCAACCATTCTTAAGGCTATCACTCGCTGCAGCCTCAGAATCCTTCTCAACTCGGCACGAGCAATCAATCAGGTCGGATTGCAAAACGAAAGCAGCCACCACCCTTGAGCTCTAGTTGTTTACTTGAACTATACAGGGTTGAGCAAACTCCATATATAATTTTGCCTCTGAGCTTCCCAGTGGTCAAAGCAAAAAAAGGAACTATTGTCAGTTATACAGCTCTCCTTCCCCAAGGCTTCCTCATGCCTAGCTACTAGGAAGAATGTGGCTGGCTGGAATCTAGAATTCAAACCACCCTCCAACACACAAACCTCAATAGCCCTTCAGGACCAAAGCAAAAAGAGCCTACTGTGTGACCTTGTGTCGGTTATTGTCAGTGAGGAAAGGAGTTGTGCCTCTGCCAAGGAGGAACCTGGAAGACCCAGTGGATGCACGAGAAACAGTCAGGCGACGATTTCACATACCCTGGTGCTCAGGTAGCGCTCGCTCCATCCTAGTCCCACTGACACATGTTAACTGATTTGCTCACTACAGTCCTATGAGGCGCATGCTCATTGTTATCCCCATTTTAGAGATCAGACCATGAAGACAGGTTAAATAATTTCCTCAAGATCCCATCCTTGGTAGGAGGAGCTGGGAGCCACCCACTAGCCATTTGGTTGCAGACCAGGGGACTCTGCGGCTTCAGCTGGACTTGGGGCTGTGTGGGGTGGGGAGGGCGTTCGATTTCACTCAGGGGTCCCTCTGTGCGCGTGCGGCAATTCCACATCACTAGATATTGGGAGGGGTGCAGCCACCCATCCCCTTTGCCCTGAGAAGGCCTGGCTCCTGGGTTGGGCAGACCTGAGTTCCAAGGGGAGCTCTGGTGTCTAGTAGCCACGTGGCCCCTGGCAGACCCCTCTCTTTCCTCATCTGTACTGGGATGTTGACGTGGTTGTGTGAAGCTCAGGTGACATGCAGGCATCTGACCCCCAGGACCCCTGAACCAGAGTGATCTGACCCTAATTAATTAGGGTCCCTTGGCTTGGCCCACCTCATAGTGCCCCCAGCTGAGCAGGCATCTTTCCGGGCTCTGCCTGAGACCATGGCTGTGGAGGGCAGTGGGAGCCATTCAGAGGGCAAGGGTCTGCAGGGGGCGGGGACTGAGGAGCACAGGGCCCTCTGGGAAGGTGTCAGGGGAGTCTGAGCTGCCAGATGCTGGAGCTTAACTGCCCTTCAGGTGGGAGCCCCCAGCATGACACTGGGGAGAAGCAGCCATGAACCAGGCTTGGGGTTTCCAGGCAGGGGGTCTGCCAGGCCATCTCTTAGGGTCCCATCAGGGCCTTTTCCCCCCATGCCGATTTCACTTTCCGGCCTGGGCGGTGGGAAGAAGGGGTGCTGGGATGGTCTGGGAAGCTGAGAGCCCCCTCCCCAAAGAGCAGCAGCAGCTGGCAGCTGGCGAGAACGGAGCATGAAATCAGAGTGAGCCCAGGGCTCTGGGGCTTAGGCTGGGCACCTGGAGAAGGTGGGCATGAACCAGGCTTGGGGTTTGCAGACAGGGGGTCTGCCAGGCTATCTCTCAGGGTCCCATCAGGGCCTTTTCACTGATTTCACTTTCTGGCCTGGGTAGTGGGAAGAAGGGGTGCTGGGATGGTCTGGGAAGCTGAGAGCCCCCTCCCCAAAGGGCAGCAGCAGATGGCAGCTGGCCGAGAACGGAGCATGAAATCAGAGTGAGCCCAGGGCTCCGGGACTTAGGCTGGGCACCTGGAGAAGGTGGGGGCAAGGGAGACCTGAGCTACTCCTGTCCTGGTCCCCTGCTGACCTCCAACTTAAATGGGACCA